CTAGTACTTCTGTATCCCTATTTGATTAGATTTTGTTTATTTTTCTACACTGTTACATCTGAAAATAACACATTTAGCCCGAGAACACGCCTTAGATATTTCGATCTATTAGTTTGCTGAATTCTTTGGATATTTGGGATGGAGTGAGAGCGGCTTATTAAATTTCTATTTAGAAATAAATAGCACACAGATCCCTGCGTATGTTTCGAATTTGTAATGTTGTTGTTTGTATTTTCGATTTAACCAGGACCACCGGGAAATGTTTGCTCTGAATCTAAATAGTGAGGAATGGTTCCACATTGTCAAAAATATGTTTTTAACACTTTTAGACGAAATGTTTACCGCTTAAACTACCAAGATTGATATGTAAATCGGGGTATAAGAAAGAAATTTCTTACACCCCTTTCTACCACAATACGCTGTGTAAACACGCAGACTGTTAGATAAATATGACCTTCAAGAGTTTTGATTGGTCGAGAAAATGAACTTTGACTTTCCACGCGCTTTTTGCCACATGCTGTTTTGTTTACGTCGTCTGCTTTCAACATCCGACAAATGTTGGTGACTTTGTGTGGTTATGCGGAAAAGGGGGTTATCAAGGCAATATTAAAAGAAGATGATATCTACAAGATCTTTCACAACGTCGGGAAATATTTCGTGGCTGAACTGTCACTATAAACGTCAACCATAGAATCGTCACGAAGAAACGTCCCATGCCTATGGTCTTGGACATTGACAGCGATAAGTACGCCTTCATCACTTGGCGGGAGGCAGACTTCTTACAATATGCTTACGCGCATATAGTCCGTGGTTAATTTATATAAATTAATGCAATACTGCTACTCTCAATATTCAAAGTCGTTCATCTATTATATTTTTTCATAAATTGTTACCGAAACATTAATTTTGACAATTATTAAATTTGTAAAAAAAAGGTTATTTTTGAATATTAATGAGTGACTTTTTACATATGGGTCACATCACTACGCCAGCCTTGTCAACAAACACATGCGTGTATTTTATTTCCGACTGTTCATGAGATTGTGGTAGAAACAGATCTTGGGCCATTTTAAAGGTCATATTATTCTGACAACGAAAAGACTAAAGGTGCGTCAAGAGTTAACTTGAGACCTTTTTCGTTTCAATCTTTCCTGTCTTTCACACGACTCGTGGTTGTTAAGGATGGTATTTATTTCATTCTCGTTAGTTAATTTTCAAAAGTTACAGAAAGGCACTCGCTAAAGCCCGTGTCTTTTATAACTTTTGAAAATTAACTAACTCGAGTGAAATAAATACCATTTTCAACAACCACTCGTTGTGTAACCTCTATTTCTTACCCTGGACAGCTCTATCTTACACACACGGATATGAGTGAAATACATATCCAACCATTTAATGAAGTGACCGCGTATTAATAAACATAAGTAGCATCATTAAATATCTCTAAAAGGTATGCCCGTGCAGGGTCGAAACAAAATTGCCGTATCGTGCAAAATGATCGCATGAAGCCAATAATACGGACCCATTGAATACTAGAGTGTGTTCTTAGAGTGCTTATTCGGTCTTTGCGTATTGCAGAGTTATCTTCTCTTGAGAGCAGGTATTGATTGTTACATGTACGTCATTGGTTTTTGGTGAGAAAATTACGTCGTTTTCTCAAAAATTGATGACGTTACTCTCACAAACCAATGACGTAACAATCAATACCTGCTCTCAAGAGAAGATAAATCTGCAATACGCAAAGACGGAATAGAAAATGGATGATCTTAAGGTCATCTGCTATCAACTTGATAACATTTTGAACCATTGTCTTTTATCTTCTGTCTGCTCTTTCCTTCTGACGTTGTCGCTCGATTTTGTTTGAACAGCCAAGGTCGTGGGAGAACGATTCCTTATAGGAAACACGCTAGGAAGTGAAAATAGATAAACAGATTGAAGACAGGAAAGATTGAAACGAAAAAGGTCTCAAGTTATCTCTTGACGCACCTTTAGCCTTTTCGTTGTCAGAATAATATGACCTTTGGACGCCGTCTTGATATGACATTTGATTTTGCATTGACCCAAACACAGGACCATAACGAGTGTTTAAGGCACTCATGGAGATCGTGTCCGTTTGTAGATTGCTACACATGATACTGATAAAATAACTGTGATCATACTATTGTATTTAACGTTTACGAGTGGTGTTTTATGTTAAACAAAATATGAATTAGATTCATATATTAAAATAACTCCGCAAAAAATATTTCTATCATTACATCAGCGTTGATCGCTAAAGTCATGTGATTTTATGATTATTAGATGCAAAGGAGTATATTGGGAGGACACAATATATCTACATACCAGACTTAAAGCTCAATATCTTTTGAAAGAAATCATTCGGATATTTAATGTGTTAGAGTGAGCTAAATCTCGACTTTTTAAGTAGGTCAGAATGGATAAAATAATTCCCTTCTTCGATCTGCCATCTTTTTTGGTCCTTCAGCATTGAATAGTTTTACATGTATCAAGCATGATTGTCAAAAGGACCAAAGAACTCTGACAGACCTCTGCTGCCAGTATCATATATAGTTAACGTCATGATTTGATTGATTGAGGCTGGGGTTATAGTTCCGTTTCTGTCTGAATTGGTAGGTAGACACATGTTCTCTTCCATCAGTGTCCGGGAAGAACATGTCGTTTGGACTGAGACATGATAGTATCATGGCTGATATTAAATCTCATTTAGTTTCCGAAATGTTTTTGATTTTCCACTGTGGAATAAACAGGCTTGGTCTTGATGGTACCCGGTAAGTAAAGGCAGTGTGATGTTCAGTGTGTTTTCTGTGGTAATTTACAAAACCGAGGCCATAAAACATTATGAAATATACATGTTGTATCCACGAAGTTAACATAAAAATAATTTAACATTTTTATCTTGTGTTCTAAATGCACGTATTTTATAATATACAATATTTTGAAGAGAAAAAAAATGGTTTAAATAGCTTCAAAATAAATGAAGGGACGGTAATTTTCCTCATTTCTTTTCCACTGTAAATAATTCGTTACACATCAGCTGTAGTGAAGTTTCCTTTGAGTTTCACGCACTTGTTTATTGGACATTCTAAGAAATAGGGCTGAGACATTCCGACTCCACCAAATACATTACCGACCCTGTTTGTCGTTGGAATTATAAGTTTATCAATCAAGTTAATGTAGTTTATACTGTTGTTACGAATAGTTTGTTTATTTTTTCGATGTTCCCGTCATCTCTGAATTTTATCCAGTCATGTTTTTCATCTGTTCTATTCGCTTTTAAGTTAGGTTACCGAACAAAGGTTTTGTCTTTCGATTTTCTGTAGTGTTTCCTGTTGGGTCTCTATAGACAATTGTATTAGGCATTTAGGCACTATTTCTGTTTATTGTTTCCATGTCACAAATATTTAACCTATTCCGGTATTTGTCACAGTCCCCTTACTGTGCTGCAATGTTATATATATTTCGCTTATAAAAAACGCAGTGTGTAGTCTGTNTTGCGTATTGCAGAGTTATCTTCTCTTGGGAGCAGGTATTGATTGTTACGTCACTTGTTTGTGAGAGTAACGTCATCAATTTTTGAGAAAACGACGTAATTTTCTCACACAAACCAATGACGTAACAATCAATACCTGCTCCCAAGAGAAGATAACTCTGCAATACGCAAAGACGGAATAGGAACTCGGTAACGCCTTTACCTGTATGTATTAACATAAAACACGTGATATCTGTACTTTTTGTTTGTTCATAATGTATTTATACTCTGTTTAATCTAAACATTTGTAACTGGTATCACACCATAACTAGAAATATTTAATGTCAAAAATATATGTTCATGAATTGTATGTTTCTAAACGAATACAATTATTAACTATATCTTAAAAATCAGTATTTGTGTTACTTCGGAAAAAATCCAGGGCAAAAATGTCTTTACATTAAACTTAAAATCGAAATCCAAAAGCTAAATACGACTGTAGTATTAGTCTCAAATCGTTTATTGCTTCATGAAAAATACTTTGTACTCTTGAAATACAGCAATTATGCAAGACAATGTTTGATAAATTTAAAAACTAATTTTATTTAATTTTCAGATGTTTGCTTTTATGATAACTTGGAGTTAATTACCGTCGACCGCCGACATAGTTACATCGACTTGAAAAGTTGGATCCCCGTGGTTTTCAAGCATGTTTCAATATAGGATAAATAAAAAAGTCCTTTATTTATTTTTCAAGTATAAAAGCAGTTATGAAGATACAAAGATACTCCTTGTAATTTGAGCCTATGATAAAAAAAAGATTGATATCAATTCCTTTTCGAAATTTATCAAAATATGTATAATAGTTCACTGATATCTATATTTACTTGACACGTGAGTGCAAAAGAAAAATCATCGTTTTCCCTTTTTTGATATATAATTTTCTTGTATCAACTCCTAGGCATAGCATGGACCTAGCAGGTCTTATATCCCATTTAGATTTTAGAATATGAAAAAAATAAAAACGTCTCAGATTATTTGACTTTCCCTCTCATTTATAATTCTTTCAAGGTTCATAAAACAGACAAAGACTAATGATATTTAAAAATAAAAAATCCACATGAATCATCTTGAACCAATGATGTTAAGTATTTTATTCGACGATGTCGGTATACAACACTCTACGGAACTATTCAAATATAAATTTTTGTAAGTCTTATTTCGGAACAGATTTTATTTAACAAAGTCTCCAGAATAATATATTATCAATGGCCACTTCAAAGTTATGTAGTTTAGACTGAGTGTTTGAAATCGGTGTTTGAAATCGGATCTGACATATTTCTATTGTTTGGTTTTGTTTGTTTGTGTTTTGTTTACATCCTATTAACAGCTATTGTCATTTAAGGACGATCCCGGTTTTGGTGGTGGAGGGTAACCGGAGTACTCGGAGAAAACCTGTTGCCAGTCGTTCTATTGTACACAAAAATAACAAACGCTATATTTAAACAGTAGTAGGTATTTAATAGGGTATAAAGGTAAAAAGAGTAAACACCTACAGTACAATGATACACAACATAGATTGCGAACCTAGCCATCTATAGATCTGCTTCAACCACATAACAAAGCCTTCTTCTAAACCACAAATCTATGTGACAAAAATAACACCCATAAATGTGCCTTCTTAAATCATCAAACCAATGTGTCGTCTTTAACTACAAAATTAATATGTGCTGAAAAACCACAAAACCGTTGTCTTTAAAAAACCATGAAATCATCTTTTTCATTTAACCATCAAACGTTATGTTTTAAAACCCCCACAAAACCAATAAATCTCTTTAACTGTCACCGAAATGTGTGCAATGACCGCTTAAGCGACATGTCTCCCAAACTACCAAACAGCATGTTTGGCCAAACTTACCACGTGTGCCAAATTAACCTACCTGTAAAAGTCACGTGACAATTCACCCAGTGACGAGTTACGTGAAATCTATGGCCGTTATAAACACACACGTGAAAACTCACTTCAGTCCCTAATTCCTTCCTGATCAGAAGCCAAACATCACTGACCAGTGTCCAGTGGTTAAACACACAATACACAGGTGGAACACATATTGGGATACAAAAGATAGTGTACGATGCTTGCAAAGTCATTGTGCATTCATGGTGTTATAAATGCAATGTGAGTTGGCTTCCCGTGTGGTGATAGTGACGTCATAAGTACAGCGTCGGATATCACTGGCAATTGTCGCGCAGGCGCGTTTCTGTTTATTTAATAAACATGAATACTATTGCCACTTTGTTTCAATGAAGGTGCTATCTGACGACTGAGTGTCAATATCTCTTTACGTGTATAATCTCTATGTAAATATATAATTTTCGTATGAAATAGGTGTCTACCTAAATGGTCTTTCGAAAAGTAGTTACGAAGAACAGTTATGTATTTAGATTTTTTTAATTCTGTGGTTAATCTCCATATATAAGATTGATGTAAACACTATAGAATATAGCTCGCTGACTGATTTGGTTTGGTTTTATTTTGTTTAACGTCCTATTAACAGCTAAGGCCCTTTATGGACGTTCGCTGACTGAGCTGTGGGATTAGTTAAGACACTGTACTTGTGGCGTTTAGTCAGATTTATTTAAATAAAAAGTCGAGTTTGATACCAAACTATTTTATCCATGAATACATTACCAGTTAGTTGTCCTCTTTGTTTCCATATTCCGTCTTTTCGTATTGCAGAGTTATCTTCTCTTGTGAGCAGGTATTGATTGTTACGTCATTTGTTTGTGAGAATAACGTCATAAATCTTTGAGAAAACGACGTAATTTTTCTCAACCAAATTAATGCCGTAGCAATCAATACCTGCTCACAAGAGCAGATAACTCTGCAATACGAAAAAAAGTAATATGATACTAAATATCGTTTGCTGCCTACTATGCTTTAAGCTGTCTTAAATCGTTTTGACGTTTCAGTTTTAAATTGATAATCATCCACGTATAGATATATTGACTCTACAATATGATGGTTGACAGGTTTATAGACTGACGTCATTAATTAGGTGTTCCGACGTCTACTTTGGAAAATCGACTTTCTCAGAACAAAGTATGTTTATGTACATTGGGTTCGAAAATGATTATGTCATCTAGATCTATGTCATGTATATGGTTACGTCATCAATGACGTTGTATATATGTGTCTGTGTACATTAATACGACAGTGTGTTAACACCATCGTATGTAAACGCTGATATTTCTTTACACAATGCTTGGAAAATTTTGTAAATATGGGATTTTGTAAAAACAGAAATATTTAATACAGGAATGTGTAAATTTCTGTGTAAAGATGAAACGTGTAATAAAAGACAGGATTAATACCGGAAACGTGTAAAAACAGGAATGTGTTAATACAGGAATGTGTAAATACAGGATTGTGTAAATAAAGGATTGTGTTAATATATGAATGTGTAAAAATAGGAATGTGTAAATATAGGAATGTGTAAATACAGGAATGTGTAAATATAGGAATGTTAGGAATGTGTAAATATAGGAATGTTAGGTATGTGTAAAAATAGGAATGTGTAAATATAGGAATGTGTAAATACAGGAATGTGTAAATATAGGAATGTTAGAAATGTTTAAATATAGGAATGTTAGGTATGTGTAAATATAGGAATGTGTAAATTCCTGAGTAAATTCCTATGTAATACTGCAATGTTTAAATTTCTGAATAACACATGAAATGTGTAAATCCACGAATCGTGTAAATTTAGGAAAGTGTAAAATACAGTATTCAATTAACTCAGGTTTGTTTTGTTTTTTGTTTGTCAATACCAGATTGTGTAAATTCAGGACTGTACAAAAACAGAAATATGTATTTGTTTCATGAATACCGGATTGCGTAAATTTGTACAGGATTGTGTAAATACAGGATTGTGTAAATACAGGATTGTGTATTACAGGATTGTGTAAATACAGGATTGTGTATTACAGAATGTTTTTATATAAGAGTCATGTGTGTATGGATACATGTTTATTCAGGTAAGTGTAGATATAGGGATAAATACCGGTGTTTAAACAGGAAGTAGAAGTGTGCCAACGTGCAGGTGTAAGTGGTACAACATATCTACATATACCTTACAACACCAATGATCAGGCACAGAACACACATCAACCACGTATAAAGATAATAGATAGGAAAAATGTAGAAACAATCTAGCTAAAATGTCTCCCACTAACCTTCGTCCGTGTCACTCGTTAATATAACTTCCTTCGGAACCTCTCGCACTGTAAGCAATCTTCACTAAAACTCCTTAAATGGTAAACTCCGTTCAGACTTCTCGAATATTCACACTTGTAGCTCTTCGAAATTCGTTGGACGGTCATTTAACAAAAATGCCTTAAGAACACCTCGGGTTATCATTTACCCGGAACACCTCGGATGGTTATACACCAAAAAGATTGAATTTTAACTGGTAGAGTCATTCTCTTAAGCGAAAAGGATTTTAACAAGTGATCACAATTATGTTACATGTATTGTTGTTTGCGCATGGCTGCATGAACTGAAATAATGACATATGTGAAAACCAATCTGTAATGTAAATAACACCTAATCTGTACAGGCAAGATCGAATGGACCAAAGAGATGACCAGCCCTATCACATAACCACTGGAAAATAGACCAATCAGATGGTTAGCCATACCACACGAACAACATGGATTGGACCAATCAGGAGTCTAACAAAAAAACCACGAGAGATGGTTCTGATTTTGCAATTTTACTTGTGTGACTCCACATCTACAATTAGAAGGTTATAAACCAATCAACAATCCGTACACAGGTAACATGACCAGGTAATGTGCACTACCACCGTGTAAGAATAGGACTACAGTAAATAATTATACCAAAACACCCACTAGATACGATTAAATCTTGATGCTGTCAATGTTTCTAACCCACACGTGGTATATACATATACATGTGCACGTGCATGTACTGTTGCTATCACGTGGGTAACCCGTGATCTGGATGATATGAACAGTCGTATACATGATTTTATATAATATTACATATATATTTATTTGATTACCATTGATTGCTAGTGACTCGGTGATTTTCACACGTGACTCGGTGATTTTCACACGTGACTCGGTGATATTTACCTACTACCTTTTGACGGGTTTGTACGTCATCACTTATAAATATGTGACACTACTTCTATTACCGTTTTGCAGTAAACTGTAATTGTTATCACCCTTTGGTCAGAACTTTCATAAACAAAAATATGATACCTTATTGGGCGGTAGTGATGCAATTTTTTAAGGACTATTGAAATTTTATTTGTTTTATTGTCAAAGCTAGCCGATAAACAATACTTCTTTATTCAAGGCTTGCAAAAATACGCGAAATCTTAACCCCATGCATTGGTGTCGCCTCTGACAGACACATAGTTTGGACCATGGACAGTTAACAAAATTGAATGAAATGTATCCATAGCGAATTTGTTCCAATAACAAGATCGTTAAGATCTTACCCTAAAATGTTGAAGCGTTATTTATCACAAGGTTGAATGATTTTGAATTAATAAGCATTTATCCGTAACTTTTATCCTGGATGTACGCTGTTTAAAGACTGTGCTGTACGCACGGGACGGCCTGTTATCGGGATAAAAGTACGGATAGAATGCAAGAAATATAAATACTTATTCAATTGTGTAATGTCTGGCCCTTGATTGCATAAATATAGTAGCGCAAATATGGCAAAGCATTAAATTACAGATTTATTGACAGAAGTCACGTGCACACTAAGTCACGTGCACACCAAGTCACGTGCATTCATGACTCACGTACACCAACATAACTCGTTCAAGTGCAATTGTTCGAAAAAAATACTGGCTTATTGGGATTTTATGGGTTATGTTTGTTTTATTTCTCTGGTTGGTTTTAGAATTAATTGCAGCCGAAAGATTACATCGCTAAATCCACCTACAAAAGCAAAAAAAGACCGAAATCTAAAAATGTTTGTGATGAGTTGTTTAGTAACACATGTACAGAGAAAGGAGTTTTGTTGCCATGCTACAAATACGAATGTTCTTTATGTCCTGGTTAGAAATATGTACTTAATTTTAATTATGTTCTTGTTCTCTTCGACAAGTCAGATTTTTGAAAAAAACGAAATTTACTCTCCATCTGATCAGTGACGTTAAATAAAGACACATGCGCATGCGTAAAGTGGACAAATTTTCGTTGAACATCCGGCCATGTGGCTACACTAGAGCTTTCAATCTTTACATTCACTTAGACAGAAAATCAATCGCTCCATGTTCGTCAACAGCCAGGTCGCGTGCTTTTCACGAGATCCTAGGCTATGAATAGGAACATCAACTGATCACGTGACATCTCATTCGGCCAGGAAATCGGGGACACCAAACAGGTAGTTGCCTTTCGCTTCGCGATCGTCTGAGAAGAAGTACTCCTTCCAGAGCTTGCGAAACTCAGATCGTGATATGTTCTCACCCTGTCGAGATAAAGAACAAACTGAATTAACGATATACAAGAAAACTTCGTTATCACGAATTCAGGTCATTCGAATAATTCCGTTATCATACATTCTCGACGAAGGTTTTGGATTGGTTTGTTTGTGTTTCACGTCCTGTGAACAGCTAGGGTCATTTAAGGACGTGGCAGGTTATTATGGTGGAGGAACACCGGAGTATCCGGAGAAAAACCACCGACCTACCTCGACGAAGGTATGGTAGAATGTCACCAGTAAGCCCGTCGATCAACCGTCTGTTCATCCCTGTGTAGACTATTTCCAAAGCGCTGCTTATGTTCCATTAACGCTGTGTAAATTTTATAGACAGGAACAGTGCATGTTTATTATGCGATCTATTTTTCATTTATAGAGTTATCGTCCTAAGATCATAACAGTCCTGTTCGTATAACTCGTCTCTGATATGCTGTCATCCCGTTATCATCACAGTCCTGTTCGTACCCGTACCTGATATGCTGTTATCCCGTTATTATTACATTCCTGTTCGTACCCGTACCTGATATGCTGTCATCCCGTTATTATCACAGTCCTGTTCGTACCCGTACCTGATATGTTGTCATCCCATTATTATCGCAGTCCTGTTCGTACCCGTACCTGATATCCTGTCAACCGTTATCATCACAGTCCTGTTCGTACCCGTAACTGATATGCTGTCATCCCGTTATTATCACAGTCCTGTATGTACCCGTACTTGATATGCTGTCATCCCGTTATCCCTGTTCGTACCCGTACCTGATATGCTGTTGTCCCGTTATTATTACATTCCTGTTCGTACCCGTAACTGATATGCTGTCATCCCGTTATTATCATAGTCCTGTTCGTACCCGTACCTGATATGTTGTCATCCCATTATTATCGCAGTCCTGTTCGTACCCGTACCTGATAGGCTGTCATCCTGTTATCATCACAGTCCTGTTCGTACCCGTCCCTGATATGCTGTCATCCCGTTATCATCACAGTTATAGAGTTATCGTCCTAAGATCATAACAGTCCTGTTCGTATATCTCGTCTCTGATATGCTGTCATCCCGTTATTATCATAGTCCTGTTCGTACCCGTTCTTGATATGTTGTCATCCCGTTATTATCACAGCCCTGTTCGTGCCAGTTCCTGATATGTTGTCATCCCGTTATTATCACAGGCCTGTTCGTACCCGTACCTGATATGCTGTCAACCCGTTATCTTCACAGTCCTGTTCGTACCCGTACCTGCTATGCTGCCATCCCGTTATCATCACAGTCCTGTTCGTCCCCGTACCTGACAGCTGTCATCCCGTTATTATCACTGTCCTGTTCGTACCCGTACCTGATATGTTGTCATCCCGTTATTATCATAGTCCTGTTCGTACCCGTACTTGATATGTTGTCATCCCGTTATTATCACAGTCCTGTTCGTACCCGTACCTGATATGTTGTCATCCCGTTATTATCACAGTCCTGTTCGTACTCGTACCTGATATGTTGTCATCCCGTTATTATCACAGTCCTGCTCGTACCCGTACCTGAAATGCTGTCATCCCGTTATCATCACAGTCCTGTTCGTACCCGTACCTGATATGCTGTCATCCCGTTATCGTCATAGTCCTTTTCGTACCCGTACCTGATATGCTGTCATCCCGTTATCATTACAGTCCTGTTCGTACCCGTACCTGATAGGCTGTCATCCCGTTATTATCACAGTCCTGTTCGTACCCGTACCTGATATGCTGTCATCCCGTTATCGTCATAGTCCTGTTCGTACCCGTACCTGATATGCTGTCATCCCGTTATCATTACAGTCCTGTTCGTACCCGTACCTGATAGATTGTCATCCCGTTATCATCACAGTCCTGTTCGTACCCGTACCTGATAGGCTGCCATCCCGTTATCATCACAGTCATGTTCGTACCCGTACCTGATATGCTGTCATACCGTTATTATCACAGTCCTGTTCGTTCCCGTACCTGATATGCTGTCATCCCGTTATCGTCATAGTCCTGTTCGTCCCCGTACCTGATATGCTGTCATCCCGTTATCTTCACAGTCCTGTTCGTACCCGTACCTGATAGGCTGCCATCCCGTTATCATCACAGTCATGTTCGTACCCGTACCTGATATGCTGTCATTCCGTTATCATCACAGTCCTGTTCGTACCCATACCTGATAGGCTGTCATCCCGTTATCATTACAGTCCTGTTCGTACCCGTACCTGATAGGCTGTCATCCCGCTATCATCACAGTCCTGTTCGTACCCGTACCTGAAATGCTGTCATCCCGTTATCATCACAGATCTGTTCGTACCCGTACCTGATATGCTGTCATACCGTTATTATCACAGTCCTGTTCGTTCCCGTACCTGATATGCTGTCATCCCGTTATCATTACAGTCCTGTTCGTACCCGTACCTGATAGGTTGTCATCCCGTTATCATCACAGTCCTGTTCGTACCCGTTCCTGATATGCTGTCATCCCGTTATCATCACAGTCCTGTTCGTCCCCGTACCTGATATGCTGTCATCCCGTTATCGTCATAGTCCTTTTCGTACCCGTACCTGATATGCTGTCATCATGGTATTATCCCAGTCCTGTTCGTACCCGTACCTGATATGCTATCATCCCGTTATCATCACAGTCCTGTTCGTCCCCGTACCTGATAGGCTGTCATCCCGTTATTATCCCAGTCCTGTTCGTGCCCGTACCTGATAGGCTGTCATCCCGTTATTACCACAGTCCTGTTCGTCCCCGTACCTGATAGGCTGTCATCCCGTTATCATCACATTCCTGTTCGTACCCGTACCTGATAGGCTGCCATCCCGTTATCATCACAGTCATGTTCGTACCCGTACCTGATATGCTATCATCCCGTTATCATCACAGTCCTGTTCGTTCCCGTACCTGATATGCTGTCATCCCGTTATCATTACAGTCCTGTTCGTACCCGTACCTGATAGATTGTCATCCCGTTATCATCACAGTCCTGTTCGTTCCCGTACCTGATATGCTGTCATCCCGTTATCGTCAGAGTCCTGTTCGTACCCGTACCTGATTATCATAGTCCTGTTCGTACCCGTACCTGATATGCTATCATCCCGTTATCATCACAGTCCTGTTCGTACCCATACCTGATAGGCTGTCATCCCGTTATCATCACATTCCTGTTCGTACCCGTACCTGATAGGCTGTCATTCCGTTATTATCATTGTCCTGTTCGTACCCGTACCTGAAATGCTGTCATCCTGTTATCATCACAGTCATGTTCGTACCCGTACCTGATATGCTGTCATCATGGTATTATCCCAGTCCTGTTCGTACCCGTACCTGATATGCGGTCATCCCGTTATTATCACAGTCCTGTTCGTACCCGTACCTGCTAGGCTGTCATCCCGTTATCATCACAGTCATGTTCGTACCCGTACCTGATATGCTGTCATCCCGTTATTATTTTGACATTGAGCGGTATACTTTATTCCGTTTTTGATAATTTTTTTTAGAATATTTAGTTATTTCTAATTTCGGATACAGAGTGTATTTTGAAATTTCGAAAACCTCGATTTTATCATCATTTTGATGATAGTGACGTCAACATAATATTGTATTATTTTTTACCGGGTTATACAATGATCAAAGGGGGTAACTATAATGAGTTCGAAAAAATTTTGTGATTATCAAAAACTTTTAACTTATAATAATAATAATTCGAGGTTCTTTTATACCGCTTTATCACAACCTAGTTTGTAGGTCGTCTCAAAGCGGTTCACAAAGTATTATTCGTGGTTAAAGGGCCCTTGCAACCAGCCAGCATCTTTCTCAACTCTCTGGGGAGCATACAGCCGGTGCTGCCATTTCGGCGCTAACAGCTAGCATTCAACAATTCTGGCACTGCCCAACCACGTACTTATTTACAGCTGAGTAGACTTGAACAAGCTGAGTAAAATATCTTTTTCAAAGATACAACACAGTGCCGTGACGTGACTCAAACCCACAACCCTTCGGTCACGAGCCAGGTGTCCTACCACTACACACTACCGTGCCTCCTATGACTTATGACACGTGACAAACATGTGACAGACACGTGACATACATTAAGAGAGAAATACTTACGCCAGACATCTTATGGAAGGCCATCCTACATTCCTCCACCGAGATATAGTTACTATAATACGTCTCATACTCCTTCGCGTCAATCTCCTTGTCACCTGACACAAACAAACGAATCTCATTGACTGATTGTTATTCATATTTCCGACTAATATTTACATATATTAATTCTATTGGCTAATATTACTGTCACCTGATACATCAGCCGAATCTCATTGGCTGATTGCTATGTATTGTTTTACTTGATACAGTATTTAAATGCATTAGTTTTATTTGCTAATTACCTATCCATCCCCCTCCCACAAATCGTCCCCAACACTAACCCGGTCCATACAACTAACATCTGAATAAACCCATACATCAATCAGCACATTTCTAACACCCAGCACCTCTTTCAAACCTACAACCCCCCTCACCCCCCCAACTCCCATCCATTCTATATCCAAATCCTAGCACTAAATCTCACCCCTCCCCTCCCCACGTGTTTCATCTTTTCCCATACTAATAATCACACTATACACTAAAAACTAGAAATGTCGGAACGAGGAGCAGAATTAAGTGAAAGACAAGTCGAGGTATCTAAGAAAGATGACATTGGTATAAGTTCAGTCAAGTATATAATCAGTGAAGAATGATGAAGAAAGGAATTCAAGGAACGGACACCAAAAAAACAACAACAACTCAGCACATGCATGACACTAATCACTAACAACCAGTCCGTCGGATGGGACTATAAATGGTGGCCCGTGTGAGAACTGTCCAATTTCGCACGGAAAAAATCCCTCTGGGTTTTTCGAATAAGAGCAGGCGCGTACACGCCGACTCAGAGGATAGGAAAAATTTATTCAAATTTTAAAGGTAGGGTCTCTTTATTAAGATATTTAGAAGGACTTCCAAATTTTATACATAAACCAAATTCTTAAACTTAGGCGGGGCTGATGGGGCTGACGGCGGCACAGTACCTCACTTCCGGTCCAGAATTGGTGATGCTTCACAATGAGTGTTAGGTTAAGGCATTATAAGGCATAAGAGTCGTCTCACAAAAACTAGACAGTTAATATATATAGGATAGACGGCTCTTTATCTAATCTATCCCCCTCTTCTACTCTTTACTCCACACTTTATCCCTTCTACTCTTTTTCCTTTCTGTTCTTCGTCTGCTGGATAACCGATACATCCGGTAGTGAAGCGGACGTAAAACCTATCAATCAATCAATCAATCATTTGCTAATGCATGGAACTGTCACCTGACACAAACGTACGATTTCCATTGGCTTATTGGTATAAATATTATCATCTGACTCTGACGGCCCCAAGTTTGATTGGCCAACTTAGAGCAAATACAACGTTCATCTCAACCGCTACATTCAAAATGACGTGACATAAAAGTATTTTGAAATGGCGCCAAGATTTTGGATTGAACTTTGAGTTTAGTTTTGAAATCATCCAACACCATTAGTGAGGAGTGGTCAACAGATAATACGAGGATAATCAATAACGACTGAGTTTTGTAACTTTGTAAAGTTCTGTGAAGACTTGATAGTAACCGGAACAAGAATGTTTTACACGTAACACAAAGTCATGTCCTGGGCTCAGCTATAACCGGAACAAGATCATTATAATACAAAATCTCTCATATGCTTAAAAATAACCGGAACAAGTGCGCTGTGATACAGAGTTTTGTCCTAGACTGAATTATAACCGGAACAAGAACGTTTTACAGTAAAATAAAGTACTTCCATACTTGATAATAACCGGAACAAGTGAGTTGTGCATTTTCATACAGAGTTCTGTCATAGACTTGATAATAACCGTAATAAGAGCGTTGTGAAGTTTAATGCAGGGTTCTGTCCTAGACTTGATAATAACCGTAATAAGACCATTGTGAAGTTTAATACAGGGTCCTGTCCTAGATTTGATAATAACTGTAATAAGACCATTGTGGAGTTTAATACATGGCTCTGTCCTAGACTTGATAATAACCGTAATAAGACCATTGTGAAGTTTAATACAAGGCTCCGTCCTAGACTTGATAATAACCGTAATAAGACCATTGTGAAGTTAAATACATGGCTCTGTCCTAGACTTGATAATAACCGTAATAAGACCATTGTGAAGTTTAATACAGGGTTCTGTCCTAGACTTGACAATAACCGTAATAAGACCATTGTGGAGTTTAATACAGGGTTCTGTCCTAGACTTGATGATAACCGTAATAAGACCATTGTGAAGTTTTAATACATGGCTCTGTCCTAGACTTGATAATAACCAGAACAAGAACGTTTCACAGTAATACAAAGTCCGTCTAGACGTCATCATAACAGAAACAAGTACAGAGTTCTGTCCTATACTTGATAATAACCGGAACAAAGGAGTTAGAATACAAAGGAGTCATGGCGATACACATACCTGACTTGTCGTTGACATTAAACATGAATTCCATGAACTTCTCCTGCCACTCGGGGACGGTGTTACTGCGGATACAGTCTTCCCACATACAGATCCACTCGTCCTTAGACACGCGACCATCCTGTAACACACATGTAAACAAACACTTCACATACAAAACGTACGCGTAACACACATGTAAACATATACTACACATACAAAACGCACGCGTAACACACATGTAAACAAACACTACACATACAAAACGCACGCGTAACACACATGTATACAAACACTACACATACAAAACGTACTCGTAACACACATGTAAACAAACACTACACATTCAAAACGCACGCGTAACACACATGTAAACAAACACTACACATACAAAACGCACGCGTAACACACATGTATACAAACACTACACACACAAAACGTACTCGTAACACACATGAAAACAAACACTACACATACAAAACGGACGCGTAACACACATGTAAACATATACTACGCATACAAAACGAACACGTAACACACATGTAAACATATACTACACATAAAAAAACGTAAGCGTAACACAAATGTAAACAAACACTACACATACAAAACGCACGCGTAACACACATGCAAACAAACACTACACATACAAAAACGCACGCGTAACACACACGTATACAAACACTACACATACAAAAACGCACGCGTAACACACATGTAAACATATACTACACATACAAAACGCACGCGTAACACAAATGTAAACAAACACTACACATACAAGACGTACGCGTAACACACATGTAAACAAACACTTCACATACAAAACGCACGCGTAACACACATGTAAACAAACACTACACATACAAAATGCACACGTAACACACATGTAAACAAACACTACACATACAAAACGTACGCGTAACACACATGTTAACATACACTACACATACAAAAACGCACGCGTAACACACATGTAAACATACACTATACATAAAAACGTACGCGTAACACACATGTAAACAAACACTACACATACAAAACGCACGCGTAACACACATGTAAACAAACACTACACATACAAAACGCACACGTAACACACATGTAAACAAACACTACACATACAAAACGCAGGCGTAACACAAATGTAAACATACACTATACATACAAAAACGCAAGCGTAACACACATGTAAACAAACACTACACATACAAAACGTACGCGTAACACACATGTTAACATACACTACACATACAAAACGCACGCGTAACACACATGTAAACATACACTACACATACAAAACGCACGCGTAACACACATGTAAACAAACACTACACATACAAAACGCACGCGTAACACACATGTGAATATACACTTAACATGCAAAACGCACACGTAACACACATTCGAACATACACATACAAAACGCACTCGTAACAAACACACATCCTTACACATTTGACATTTATTTTGTGTCTGAAATGTACTTAAAAGTGATTTTGACTTTCCCCCGGTACGAATGGTAGTAAAAGGGACATAAATCAAATTTTTTTTTAGAAGTAGCTGGTGAAGGCTCGTGATTTTTTTTATTTCTGTACTTTATCGATGTTTATGTGCGTGTGTAGGCGGCTAGGTGTTGTTACGTAAGCTGCGTCGTGGGGGATAGACGTGGGTTAGCAGTTGTAATTACACAGTGGATCTTGTTGTGCTTAAAGTTGTTATTTTCGCTGAAATACCTCATTCGTGAAGATGCGGATTAAGTTTAAAGCTACAGGCAAAATATCAGTGTCTTGACTTCAAGTCATCCATAAGAACCTCTTAAACGATTAAAACACATTTGACCCATGTGACCTTGAAAGTCAAACATGGACATTAAATTGAACAAACTTCATAGCCCTTCCTCCCAGAATGCAATTTGCCAAATATCACCATCTCATACCTTTTGTTTATTGAGATGACTTTTAAAGATTTATGCACTATGGACCAGATGTAACCATGAAAGTATGTCAAGGTCATTCACATCAACAAGCAATCATCCTGTATGCTTTAGTTATTCAGAAAAAGGTCGTTTTAAGTTTTCAACATATTTGACCCCTGTGACTTTGAATGCCGGCAAGGTCATTCATTTAAACAAACTTCGTAGCCCTTCATGCCAACATCCTTCTGGCCAAATATCATCACCCTGGACCTTTTGGTTATACAGAAGAAGCCATTTAAAGGTTTTTAAGACAATTGACCCCTGTGATCTTGAGTATAGGCAAAGGTCATTCCTTTGAACAAACTTTGTAGCCCTTCATGTCAACATCCTTCTGGCCAAATACCATCACCATGAAGCCTTTGGTTATACAGAAGAAGTCGTTTAAAGGTTTTTAAGACAATTGACCCATTTGACCTTGAATATGAGTGAGGGTCATTTGTTTGACCTTCGGGCCAGGTGAGTTAAAAATGCTGTTCCTGAAATAAGATTTAGACAAGACAAGAAAGAGATTTCTATTTTGTTTTGGCAGCGAATTTATAGTTTAAAAATCTAGGGTTGAAAGTTTCCTCGAAATCAACGAACGTAAGGTTTGTCCACCAAAACCACAAATAAATGAAAAGTATATTCCATGGGCTTATTTTTTTTTTTTATAAAAATAGCAGAGTTGTTTTAATATTAGAAATGTCACATAAAAAAAACAAATTACAAATGGAGACAATTTATGACTCGGGCCCTGTCTTGGCCTGGAACTTACAGTACCCTGCATCAAATCGCCTAGCCGAGAAATACCGGTAACTTTGACCCCCAGAAGCCTTGGTGCAGTAGTGGTCACCGGTCCAGTCCCAGTTATCATAGTCATCAATAGTTCCTAGATCCCAATGTTTAACTGCTGAACTGCTTTCAGCTGGCATTCAAAGCCAATATAACTGCCAAATGGAACGTAACACCATGAAGCACACTAACGTTTCGAATTGAATTTGTCATATTCCATATTTTTAAGGATGCCAACGGAAAACTGTTCAGTACTTATATTTTACAATTTCAAAAATATCTTAACCTTGTAGAGAATAATATTTATTGATATTAAGTATTTAGCTCAAATACATGTATATATATCGTGTGTGTTTGTTTGATAGAATAGCCAGCTTTAAGGATTGTGTTCAACACTGCAATTATGAAGTCATGATACTTATGACGTCCCCTCGTTGTCCATGGCAATCATAGCCGATATGAATGTCATTTAATTTGGTAGTTTTTTTTTTAGTGATAATACCATAGAGTGTAAATATAAATATTATTCCTGGATAAGACAAGACTTTCACAGATACAAGTATAATGTAATTGTCACAGTCAAGTAACAAGTGGTACATTTTAATTAATTTCCGAAATCATTTGTTGAACATACATCATTAATGTGTATGATACAATATTATCTTATTCATGTGAGTTTATGATGGAACTGTCAATCTAACATGTACACCCCATTCATGAGCGTGACGTCATAATGGGATAATAATGATGTGACGTCAAGCAATTGAGATTATTACGATTCCGTGATGCGGAAATCGCGAGGACTTTCTGAGCTGATTCTGGTGATTGGAATGAGACATTGTACAAGATTGTTTAAGTTCTACTAAATATTATTGCGAGGGCATGCATCATCGATGATTTTGACATCATCACCTCGTTTTAGATTTGTACATTTGATTTTACTTCATGGATTTTGACCAGTGTGACGTCATTTGTTGCTGATGTTTGTTTGAAACCATGTGTATGTTGACAATGTCGAGAAAAGCATAATTTGTGGGACATTTATGAGAAAATGATAAAGATAAATATGACGTAAACAACAGTGTGAACGACAACCTCGACAGGGCTACACCAGGGTTCGAACCATGAACCTCTGGTTACCGTTCTGTCGCTTTAACTGTACAAAGGAGGTATCCTGGCCCAATTGCGCTACAGCTATATTTAACTCGACACTAAAGGGAGGTAGCTGTATTTAACGAAATATTACGGTGGAACTCTTCAGTGTTTTGCCTGCATTGGGACAGACGTCCTTAATTATACGTACAGCATTGACGTCCGCGTAGGTTTTCAGTCCCGTCCAGATAAGTCCCAGCGCTTCCTCAGTCTCCCGATGTTTTTCACTATTTTCCGGCCATTCCAGGATAAGACATACCTTCTGAAACACAGAGTTAACAGACTTAATTTTTAACCTTTTTCTTTTTTCTTGTAATTAAAATAATGACGAAAATATATCAACTGTGTCCCAATAAAAGGGATGAAATCTGAACTAAAAGATATATAAATGTTATAAGCGGACCAAGGAGACACAAAAAAGAGGCAGAAGAAAAGTCGCCGAGGAGATTCAAAAAACAAAGGTGTGTGTGAGTGTGTGTGTGTGT